CTGTTGTTATTTCTCTGGGATGCAATAGCATGCCCAGCCTTTGTCACATCCCCAGCATGCTACTGGGAGCCCAACAAGTCTGCGTGAGGAAGTTCACCACACAGAGCTGAGCAGAACCTGAGGATTTCGAGACCCACCAGTGACTCCTGGTGCCTTGGCAAAAACAGCTCAAGAGAGGCAAATTTGCAGAGCATGCTGGGCATGGTGAAAAATCATCTCAAAAGTTTTCAAAGAACTGCTTAACATCAGTCACTATGAAAAAATCTTGGCCAGAGATGACAGCAAGGTCCTTTACTCCCACAGTGGGAGGACTGCCAAGGAGCAGGCCTTTTCTTTACTTCCATCACGCCTGCTGAAGACAGACATTAATTGTCGTGTGATAGGGATGGCTGCAGCAAGAGATGAGCATGGCTGTGCACATAAACACTGTTCAGAGCAACAACTCCTTCTTGGGGAACTGCCCATGAGGACCTCTTTGGCTGAGACACAAGAGGAATTAGCACTATGCACACAAAACAATCCAGTGAATGAAAGTTACATACAAGGAATTATTGTAAGCAATTTTTCAAGCAACTTCCTCATGATGTAAGAAGGCTAGGTAAATTGAATATACACAAATCAATGAGCCCCAATGAGATGCACCCACGAGTACTGAGAGAGCTGGCTGATGTTGTTGCTCTACAACTCTCCATCATTTTTGAAAGATCATGGCAAACAGTAGAGGCACCTGAGGACTGGAGGAAAGCCAGTGTCACTCCAGTCTTCAAAAAGGGCAAGAAGGAAGATCCAGGCAACTACAGACCACTCAGCCTCACCTCCATCCCTGGAAAACTGATGGAGCAGCTCATTCTGGAGGTCATCTCTAAGCATATGGAAGAGAAGAAGGTTATTATGAGTAGCCAGCATGGATTTACCAAGGGGATATCATGCCTGAGTAATCTGATAGCCTTCTGCAATGTTCTAACTGAATGGGTAGATGCCGGGAGACCAGTGGATGTAGTGTACCTTGACCTCAGCATGGCTTTTGACACTGTCTCCCATAACATCCTCATGAGCAAGCTCAGGAGGTGTAGGGTAGAAGAATGAACAGTGAGCTGGATTAAGAACTGATACAAAGCTGGGAGGATTGGCTGATTCACCTCAAGGCTGTGGAGATTTGGACAGACTGGAGAGCTGGGCAAAGAGGAACCTAGTGAGGTTCAACAAGAATAAGTGTAGAGTCCTGCACCTGGGAAGGAACAACAACATGCATCAGTACAGGTTAGGAGCCGACCTGCTAGAAAGCAGCTCTGTGGAGAAGGACCTTGGAGTCCTGGTGGACAAGTTATCATGGGGCAGCAATGTGCCCTTGTGGCCAAGAAGGCCAATAGTATCCTGGGGTGCATTAAGAAGTGTGTCCAGCAGGTCAAGGGAGATTCTCCTTCCCCTCTTTTCTGCCCTAGTAAGACCACATCTGGAGTATTGTGTCCAGTTTGGGGCCCCTCAGTTCAAGAGGGACAGGGACTTACTTGAGAGTCCAACAGAAGATGATTATGGGACTGGAACACCTGTCTTATGAGGAAAGGCTAAGAGACCTGGGGCTGTTTAGTCTAGAGTAGAGAAGACTGAGAGGGGATCTTATTAATATATATAAATATCTGAAGAGTGGGTGCCAAGAAAGAGGGGCAAATCTCTCTTCAGTTATGCCCTGTGATAGGATAAGGGGCAATGGATTCAAGCTAGAACACAGGAAGTTCCACCTCCACATGGGGAACAACTTCTTTACTGTAAGGGTTACAGAGCACTGGAACAGGCTGCGCAGAGAGGTTATGGAGTCTCCTTTTCTGCAGACCTTCAAGACCCATCTGGATATGTTTCTGTGTGACCTGCCCTAGATTCTGAGGTGGTCCTGCTCTGGCAGGGGGGTTGGACTCGATGACCTCCAGAGGTCCCTTCCAACCCCTATCACTCTGTGATTCTGTGAGAGCAACAGCGAAACCACACAAGGAAGACAAGCAGAGAGGCTTCCCTCTCCAAACAATAACAAACTGGAGAGCTGTCTTCCCTGTTTTGCAGCTTTCAGCATAAAAAACCCGGTCTAGTACCAGACATACTCCAAACAAAGCTCTTCTCCTTCTGAGGTATAATAAGGTACACAAAATGAAATGGAACAAGAAAGCTTCATGCCTTAGATGTCCTTTACCAGCACTGCACATACATGCCAACAGGGTTACCACCCTAAGAAAAAACAACAAATAAGCCCTGTTCAAAATTCAGAGGCAACAAAGGCAGAAAGCCAATACAAGTGCTTTCTAACTACAGTCCATGTGATATATTCTGTAAGTCTCCTATGAGCTTATTTTGTGGATGCACCCATGTTGCCTCCTGCCACAGAGAATCAGTGCAGTGTTCGCTGCACAAATGTCTGCACTTCTACCAAAATAATTTCCAGCACTTTCATTCTCCATGCCACAGAAAGAGAAGTGTTAGTGCCAATGAGAACAAATATGAGGTTTTGTCCTCTTTTACCTCTTGCACACCTACACATTCAAATGAACAGCACATAAACTGCATCCCTGTTCACCCTAAAACCATTCCTTCAAAAATTGAAAGCTATTGCTTGCTTCCAGGTTAGACTTTGCAATGAAAAAAAAGAGAGAAAATGGCTTCTAAGATACTTCTGTGTGTTTGCTTCAAAAAGAAAGCAGAACATCTTACACTTTCTGAAATGTGAAAGGTCAACTGATGCGTCTCATGCTGGCTACTAGCTGCAAAATACTGAGAAGTAACTTGTCTGGGCCTTGACTGAAGGATGGTCCTTCTTGGGGGAGCAACATCCTATGAAAGGCTACTTGCATAGTAAATTGCATTTGGAAAGAAGCTTCCTTAAGAGCCTAATATAATGAATCGTGCCTGCTGTTCATGTGTCCTGAACTTCCCTTCCCTTGCTATAGAAGACAGTCCTGAGAGTATCTGAAGCCAAATGGGATAATTTATTTCCAGGAAATGTGGCTCTTCCTGCTGTTTGCTATCCTCAATAATTCATACTTGTTGGCACAACACAACCACCTTCATACCACTTAATGGCAGTATTAAAATTGGGTTATTATGAGAGCAGTTAAAAATAAAATAAAAAATAGGTTCAGAAATCTGGAATTTCCTGAAAAGCAGAACATTTGAGATACCTTTAATTATACCTAGGGCTGGGAGAAGTATGTCTGAGTTGACCCTCATAAACCATTACCAGTTCCATGTTCACAGTGGGTTTGCTGGGAGGCTGCAAGTGGAGACTGATTAGAGCACTTTGTCAAGATTAGGTGATGGTTCTGGTTTTACTTGGGTTAGACACACAGGAAGATAGCTTCAGATCCAATTTATTCCATGTTTGGGGTTTTCAAGGATAAACACAAAGGAAACTACAAGATTAATTTCAAAGCAACCAGGAAGTAAATGTCTAGAGAGTGAAATTCATGTTGCTTAATGCAACATAAACAGTGGTTAAGAGCAAAGAGGTGAATTATTCTCACAAAAACTTAGAAGTTGCAGTTTCAAATCAAACAGTGGTATTCATAAATTCAGACTGAATTGTTTTGCCTTTAAGAAAACAAAACAAAACAAACCCACAAGGATAAAATCTAGACATTTAATGCACAAAGTATGTCGAAATCTTTTGTTTTGCAGTTTGACAGAAGACAAACAAATAAGTTACCCAAAGGAATCCTTCCAGATTATTGTTTTACCCAAAATAAAGTAACATAAAATGGCTTTAGATAATCCTGAAACATTTTTTTCCCAGCAAAGGAACAACATTAATTTTACCCATAGCACCAATTCTAACAGCAAAAGAACTAAAAAGCAACCAAAACTTCAAAGAACACGTGATAAGATTGTTCAGAAGTGCTTAGTACTGAGCTAATGAGAAGTTTATCATTAACTTCCCTAGGAACAGGATTAGGTCTAATACAAACACTTCTGAATATCTTTCACAGTGAATAATGAAAGCAGGAGGAATAAAGACAATGTACAACCTGCAGGTAGAACTAGTGAATGCCTTGTAGTGTGTTTTCTCATGTTTCCCATACAGCATCTGTCAATGTATAGCCTAAATTAGTAACTCTGCAGTCTCAAACTGTCTGGTTCATTCTCTGCAGCACAGAGAAGACTAACAGAACAGACTGAGGCATGTACATGACCTGCACATTTTACTGTAACATAGGTATTAAAAACCTGTCACTGTCCTACTATGGTTTCCAGTGATACCTATGTTTAAGGAAGAGAAACTTTTGTACTGTTCTAAAAATGATTACCAACATCTTTCCTAAAGAAGCTTCTAGTATACAACTGAAGGAGGAATAGCTTGCAACTCGCTATGATCTGCAAATATCCTTCCATGAAAGCTCATATCTGACCTCTGACAAGTGTAGTACAACATCACTTTCTTTTCTGCAATATGATTCATGGTGGGTCTCAAATGCCAAATTGTGAAGCCTGGCTTTCCAATTATGTTATTTATGATAAATAACAATTTTGAGATAATTTCAGATTTCCCACATTCGATTATTCAGCTGATGGAAAATCTTCTCATCAAGACATATCCAACATTTAGGTTTCAGAAGCATAGCAAAGGTATAAATACAATTATTTATTTCATTTCCAAATGGCTCTGCAGATGACAGGTCCCAGTCCTGTTCGAAGCAAGTGTCAAAGAGCCTAATGACTTAAAGGAGAGGCAGAGACACTTAACAACTTCAGTGGGGTTTGAATCATTAACAGAAATTGAATGCAAGACTCCAGGCCAAGATCTGCCCTCAAATCAGACCAATTAGAGACTGAGACATTCAACTAGAGGGACATTTTAATCTGTTAAGCCTGCCTGCACTACTTAGGTAGCAGTATGTTTTTTTCACCTCAGTCCAAGACATTTGAGAGAAAAACTTGCACTTACTGACCATTTCATCTGAAGATTAGGAAAGAAAACATTTTAAAGGGAAATGTTGCATTGCATTGTCTTTCAGTGTTACCTTGAATGCAGCTATGCAGTGTAGGCTGAGCAATGCCATCACCAGCACCAGGAACACTGTGGCTAAGTTCCTGGCATCCCAAATGGACTCAATCAAAGGGATGCTGCCGACCTGCCAGTCGTAGCATAGGGTGATCGGTGCCAGCAGAAGCCAAGCATTGAAGGCCAGAAGATAGGAATAAGTTAGGAACCTGCAAAAGCAAAACAGGCAACTTAATAAATGCAATGACTGCCAACACACAAAACATTTCTCTTTGGCAATTATCACTCACTGTAAGGGAGGAGGGAAAAAAATAAACAGCTCTATACACACAGGTGATACTGTACCTCTCTGTTAGTATATAAAGAAATGCTAATATAGGTAAGGGGCACTTCAACAGGTCATTTAAAAAAATAACATAAGAGGTAATATTTTCAGTAATATTTCCATGGTTTCTATGCACCAGCCTTTGGAAAACTAAGAAATCTTCACCTCCCATACAGATGTTACAATTTTGAAGTGACCAGCTTCAACAATAAGTGAATGACAACTAAGCAGGTACATACATCTATTGAACTGTTTCACAGTTCACTGCATCATTCCTGCAATACTAAATATCGCTCTAGCTGGGTTTAACTTACAATTTAGGATTTCTCCTATGTGCACAATATTGAGCAATTGAAGTCAGATTTCTCTCTGACCTTTCTCTTAGCATCCCAGCACAGAGAGAAAAAACAGAAGAAAAGAGGCACAGGGTGATCCCTGGCTGATCCAATAGCAGCTTATTAAGGCTGAGGACAGCTTGCATCAGGTGTGCCACAGAAGTGATGGACAAGTAGAGAACCTTGCAAATTGCTGTAATCTTCATTATTTGGTATTCTCTTAGAGAGGAAATTAATTTGGAGTTGAAATGGGGAACACGCTGCCCTCTGGGAAGTATGCAGGGCTTTAAGATTGAACAAGAACAACATGCATGCAACTGGCCTAAGCAAAACAAGAAAAATAATAAAAAGAAAATATAAAAAAATTAAAACCAACATCCTGTCTCTCCCTCCCCTCACCCCTCACCCCCCCGTCTCGTTCTGTTTTGCACCTACTTGCCAAAAGGGCATCCCCCTCAAACCACATTTACAAAAGTTCAAATACTTTTCTGTGCAAGAGGCTGGAGATTATTCCAGCAATCACAAAGTCAAGCAAGCCAAATTGAGACAGCCTTAGAAAACAAAAACACTTTTCTGGTTTGCAAGTAGAAAAATTCACATTGTACACAGCACTGAAGACAGCAAATACTCAAAAAAATGAAATTATACTCTGTCCCGTATAGGATTTCTTCCATCTGAGCCTGCTTGGGTTGTTGTTATTACACACAGTTGCCACGGTACCTTCCCAGGTTTATTAAAACAACGACAAGGGACCCCCAAGAGATGTTCAGCCATGTAGACAGAGAATTGTTTCACTCACCCTTTAGAAACGTGCATCTTTAGGGTCAAAATACAGTCCCTTACAAGAGCATTTGCAACATTGTATTGTATTTATGGCAGAAGGGGTAAGACACTGAAGCTAAATGTGACCCCAGACACACGGGTATAGAAGTTCCCAGATGGGTGTTGGGCTTAAGACACAAGGAAAAAACAGGCCTAAATTTTTGTGAAAACATTTTAAAATAACCACAAACAGGTGGGATATCGGTTTCTCTTCTCATCCCAAAATCAAGTGTCTCCAGCAACCCAAAAGCAGGGAGGCATACATAGCTGGAATAATGTTTCATTGTAAACAATGGAAAACACACATTCCCGTTTCCTCATGAATCTTTCTAAGCTCCCAACTCCGATGGAAAATGGAATATTCCTACATGCTTGAGGTTTTCAGCCATTTGGTAGATTTCTTATTCATCCCTCTATTTTCCTCCCCTGCACCATCCTGAGGCAGTAAACAAGGTGAAAAGTAAGAGAAAAATCCATTTTCCCTCTTAATACAGGCAGCGATTAAAAAAGCCAGTTTCTATTTAAGAAAGCATCCCTCAAAAACATAAATCTAATTTTACTCAAACCCTTCTTACAGTTTTCTCCATTCAGTGATTATAAAGAAACAAATAGGTCCTTTCTAGTCACCAAGCCAAGCTTTTCTGGCCTGTGTTACAGAGAAACACAGCAATGCTAAATCTGGTGGAGCTTAATCATGCCAAGGCGCTCACTCGTGATGTTATGTGTGGCCTGGCCCCACCTCTGCTCGGCCACAATGAGAAACAGACTTCTGTACCAGCCTCAACATAACGTCAGCTCAGAAAAGGCTGCCAGCATTTATTTACACCTACTTACTAAAAAGCCAAACAAATTCATTTCTAGCTTTAACTTTTAAAATGAAAAAGCGTGTTTGTTTATGGCGATCTGAATCATGTTCTGGCGTGTGATACTGTTGCAAGTGTGTGTATTAGACAGGATTTTCAGAAGCCCCGAGTTGGTTTTGCATGTGATACAAAACTTAGAAGAGGCCAGTTTTTGGAGGGAGTGTCCTTTTATGGTCTGGCTTATTATAATTTTCAATAAGCATCCACAATATTCGTGGCAGTTTGTGTAAGGCACATAAGGCACACCAGAAACCCTCCTCTGCTTACTCAGTCTGGACTGCTGGATAGGAATGAACAAGACAACACTGGGGATCTTTGCAAATTGCAGCACTGCAGTTAAAAGACTGAGTAGTTCGTTTTCTGCATCTTTGCTGATAAGGCAAGAGCTGATAAATTATTATGCAGCACAGAATAAATAAATACACTTCGCTGCCATTGCAAATGCAAGTCAGTTTACCAAAGTTTAAGAGGAATTTAGTGTGGCCATAGTGTGTGTTAATATATTTCTGCTGGAAGGTTAGGACAGACTGCTCCTGAAGATGAGAGGATACGCTCCAGGACACGCATTGATCAAGAAAGGTTTGTAACCAGATCTCTCCTTCTGTGTGCTTGTAGGGTTTCCATCTTCCTCGGGAGCCACACGTAACTTGCTGCCAGAGGCAGGTCCCAGAGGAGATGGACAATTGATCCATTCCATTACAGCAATAATTAGTGTCTTCAATACACTCTGTCAACAGCGGTGAACTGTTTTAAAGCCTGTGACAGTTCTTAGCCTCTATGTACAGTTGACTGGTTCACCTCTCCAGGCATCCTCCTCAGCCACATCTCTTGTTGTCAAGCCTGAAGGCTCTCACTGAAGACACACATGCCAACAGCAGGCATGAAAGCAAGATCCAGGAGGGCACTGCATGATTTTAGCAGGCATCTGTAAGCTGCAAGAAAGCCCCGAGAGAGCTCTCATCCAGCTAAAAGTTTGGATACACTTTCAGCATTGGTAATCTGTCCTTGAACATGATGGATGGCTGTATAAAATAAAGCACTGCAAACTATTGCCATGCTAGGTACTAGGAACAGAAAAATAACAGGATGCTAATAATAGCTCCTCACAACTCAGCGCTGCTCTTTACTTACAGCTCTCAAAAGTACGTGATATTCCTTTACATCTTGTGTGGTTCTCATATCACAAGGATAACTGGGGGAAAAGATAAATGCCAGAAGAAACTTTCAAAGAACACTCTCACCAAAGCTGACACGACAAGCAAATAATTTGCAAATTTTTAAAAGACTCAAAAGATTTGTGGAATTGGCCCAGGAGCTAATTAAATTTCAGCAGCCTACCTGCAAATGGCAACAAAAGTATTTGCTTTTAATCAGTTGACTAAGTGAATTACATTTTAAATTAATGTTCCTCTCTGTATTGCTGTTCATGTCTGCTTGAATTCCAAGAGGGAGAAATCCTTGTCTGTGACATCTCCTGCTCTATCAGTTAATCCCAGGCAAAACAGAGTATTGGAGAGGTGGCTGGAAGAATCTGCCTCTTAATTGGCAATCAGTTTTTCCCCAGACTGGTTAACAGCATTTGCATCACAATAGAGCTATTTTTTTAATTTGCAAATTGAACACGGAAATCCAAGTTTCAGCAGGTAGCAAATGTTTCTTTTCACTTCTCAGCATCTCTGGCATGTTCAGAAAAACAGAGCTCCTCATGTAGGTAGCAAGTGTTGTCATGGCAATCCACTTTGTTTAGTGTTAAATTTTTTAGTTTAAATCTACTGTTGTGTGCTTTGTTTGTCATAAATACAGGATGATTCATGTCTAGAAGCCGTTGCAGAAAACAACTATCTGAACTGATTGTTTCTGCTGAAAAAATCAAAGTAAAGAGTGCTACTTAAAGCCATAAACAATTTGACACAAAAAAATATTTGAGGAAGTCTGTAATCCTTTGCTGTAATAGACTAATGAGCTTGGAAGAGCCCTAGTCTCAGCTCTGCCAAAGTCAAGTAATCAGAGCACATGAGGGATGTGAGAAGAGATTAAAAAAAAATTAAAAAACAAATAGAAGAAAATATGAGAATTATAGAAAATTACGTGGAGTTTCATTTGCTTTCTGATTTTGGAGCATTTTAAGCTTTTTCCCCTAGCTCCCAGGGACTGAGATTATATCTATTTTTTTTCCAAAACTGTGCTACACAAACTATCACAAGACTCACACCGTGCCCTACTGAGGCCGCACGGAAAGGTAGGGGCCAGTGACCCTGTTCTTTCTAGGTGTATACAGTGGTGCAACCTACCACCTACATAGCTCTGGGACAACCCATCACCTTCCTGACAAAAAGCAAGTGGCCACCTTACCCCAAAGGCACAAGAGGGTTTGCATCCAGAAGTGGAAGATGTTCCTGTACTGGGGGGTTCAGTCAGGCAAAGGCAAAATATTCTAGTTGGAGACAAAAAGGGAAAAAAAAAAAAAAAAAAAAGGCCCTACCTAGAAGACAGATGGTAACAATGCACTTAACTGGTATTAGGGACAAGAAGGGGGTGCACAAAGAAGAGGGCAATCTGAAACAGAAGCAGGAAGAGAGTCGTTGCCCTTTTAGAAATAACAGACCTTGTTAATGCTCTTCTGAGGAGACCTGCACACTACCAGAGACTCACGAAGGTTTCAGTTCACTCTGAGGGTGAGAAGAGCTCCACTAGTACAGAAAAGAGCTTCTCACTCACTTGCGTTAACAACTGAACTGATTTCACCTCAAGGCTCTCTTCATCCTCTGCAAAGCCCCAAATCCAAGTGTGTTTGATGAGCTGCCTCATAATAATGTCTTCCTAGGCCACATGTGGCTGCAATTATAACCAGGTGATGGTATTTA